GGTGTGCGAGTCTGTGGCTGTTATGTGAGGAATGTAAGTGACAAGTGCTGCTGTGCTCTTTATCGCTGAGCTGGTCACAGAGAGATCTTTGTGATCTCTCCACCGGCTTAGTGACTAAAAACACGGCACCCGCTGTTGTGGTTTTGGTGTTACACCCGGAGTGATTATGGTGTGCCCAGGCATACCCAGCACACCCTGTGTGCATGCCTATGCACACTGCTACACTGCCTTGGAGCATCCTGGAGAGAAAGTAGTTCTGCCCTACAGAGAGAGCTCTGAAGAAAGAGATTGTTTTTCTAACTGACCTGTAGAGCTTAACAGGGGACCTTCCTTGTGTTCTCTCAGCCATGGCAGCTGGACAAACCCAATAATGTGACATTTTAATGTTATACCATATGGCCAAAGGTCTGTTGATACCTGACCATCACACCTATATGAGATTGTTGGACATCAAATACCGAGACCATATGTATTTCTATGGAGTTGGCCCATCCTTTATGGCTAAAGCAACCTCCAGTCTTCTTGAAGGCTGTGCGCAAGCCTTCACAAACATCATATACTGACATTGAATGAGAGGACCTGGCTTACGTTGGCATTCAAACTCATCCCAAAGGTGTTGAGTAAAGTGGAGGTGAGGTCCTTCACATCAGACCTTTTAAACTATGACTTTGTGGAACTGAATCTTGTGCCCAGGTACACAGTCATGCTGTAACAGAAAAGGGTATTTCCCAAAGTGTTGCCACAAGTTTAGAGGTGCACAGTGTAAAATATATTTGTGTGCTGTAGCCTTGACAGTACCCTTTACTAGAAACACTGGAACTTAACAATTTGCAGGGTGTCCACATACTTTTGGCTATATAGTGTAGGTGTGAAATTCATGTGTCCACAAAGGTTTGGCTCTTTAGTCAATTTTCAGGGCACTGGGCCCATATACTCAGCCCAGGTTGAGAATAGAAATGCATGTTTCCCTACGCACCCTTGCAGACAAGTTACATTTACTACATCATTAAAGATTTTTGAAGTAGTGTCAGCTACCTTCCCCCTATTCTGGGCTCTTCACTCCTGTGTACCAAGGAGAAAATGCTGGCTGCCATTGCTGACCTCCTTATAAAAATGCTAGTTGCCTTGTGACTTTAGTATTTTCTAACTCACTGACTTGGAACAAGTATGTCTATCTATCAGAAAAAAACAGAATGAAGTCTGAACTCCTGATCTGCATACTTGTGTCAGAGTAATGACTTATTAATTAGTGAATCATAAAATCAGCATGACAGCCAGGAAACTAAGAGGTCAGCAATGGCAACTTGGTTTCAAAATTGTACGTTGCAGCAGTAATGCATGATGAAATAAGTGTTTTAAGGCCTCTGAACCTGGCCTGATCTATGTATGATGTATAATTTCTATAAAATATTACTGAAAAAAACTATGAGAACTTTATTAATCAATTATATCAAACACCTTCATCATAGATGTTAGAAGCAAAACAAATAAAGCTGACTTCCCGGCCAATCAGCATCGAGCGGGCTTCCCGGCCAATAAGAGAGCCGGGCAGTGGATCATTACACGCTGCCTGGTTTCCTGATTGGCCGGGAAGCTGGCTCCATGCCGTTTGGCCGGATCGATGCTGATTGACCGGGCTGCTGATTGGTAAGGAAGCAGACTCCATGCTGTTTGGTTGTCTTGATGCTGATTGGCCAGGAGGCCAGCTTCCCAGCCAATCAGCATGGAGCTGGCTTCCCGGCCAATCAGGAAGTCGGGAAGTGGGTCATTACAAGCCGGCTTCCGGCCAGTCAGCATTGAACAAGCCAAACAGCATGGAGTCAGCTTCCCGGCCAATCAGAAAGCTGGACGGCAAGTCATTACCCACAGCCCGGCTTCCTGATTGCCGGTAAGTCAGCTCCATGTTCCCTCGCGGCAATGCTGGTCAGAGGAAATCTCCCTCTGACTGGAAGTTCCGATATCAGGGAAGGTATTGGCACCATTACCGATACTACCGTAGTATCAGTATCAGTACATCCCTAATTAAAATAATGCCTTGTGATCCTGCCATGAAGGGTCTTGTTCAGGCACTTCCTGTTCTAGGGTGACAACCAGGGCTGAATTAAGGGCAACTGTTGCTCTAATCACAGCCCAACAGTGGTGCGGGCTGTACATAAACAACGGAGGCTGCAGCAGTAGGTTCTCAGTAAGAATACATCTGTAAAAAGGGATGGGTGGGATCGGTAAGCTTAGGGTACAGGAGAAAAAAGAATGAGTGCACTTTGCTTTAAAGTGCAATTATCCTTTAAGCACATTAAAGCTATGAGAAAAACGCTATGGTGCCCCCTTTCCTTGGTGCCCTTAGCACATGCATTTTTTGCTTAATGGCTTATACAGCCCTGGTCACAACTCTCTGTACCCGTCTCCAAATTGTACTTTTCCATTGTCACTTGGACTTCTGATGGAATCTAGATGTAGCCGTTTCAACACGCATTACACAGGTATGGTCTATCATTTGTCACAATCTGGAAACCTGCCCTGAGAAATGCACTGCAGCCATTGCTGAATTCACGCATGTACTTTAGAAAACCAAATGTCATTTAGTTAGGGTTTACATGTACTTTTAAGCTTGTTAAATATATAGGTTCACAGGAATGTCATAACATATAGGGACCCAAATTTCTGAATGCATGTAAATGTAATTCACCAAGTAATCTGTAAATTAAAATATAGACATTGCGTGACCTTTTAATAAAAAATATGAAGGTAAAGAAACTTATAAATACATTTGCACATATATTTGCTTATAAGTAACAGAGAACTACAGAACAAAGATTTATACAGTGATAAATAAACTGATACATAATATATGGACAAATAAATAAAGTCCTTGTTAGTAACTCACAGGAGTTAGTTTTTGCATGAATACAATAATGAAGATTTCCCAAATCTATTTATTATTTGAGCCAAAAGCTTTCAAATCTGCACTTTATTACCAGTATATTTTACTGTTTGAAAGTGATCATTTACCTTCAACGCTTACACTTCTGGTGCTAATATTTAAAACATTTGACTTTATCATGATGCAAGGTCTCTAGCCATATTTGTCCTGACATGAGTTCTTATTAAATGTTAATTTAGGAATTTAGAAAATCTTAAACTTCTTGGTATTTTGCTGCCAAGCCCTGTCCTGATTCATCTGACTTCATAGGGGTGGGGATGCAGAGGACAGGCTTTTGGATTATTTGTATCTTATATTCACTTTATATTAGTCTTCTTTTAGTAAAATGCCAAAAAAATAAATAGATGTCTTATCCCTCTACACAGGCTTCAGCTTGTATAAAAAACAGTGGGGTTGATTTATTAAAGTCAAATGGGTGCTTAGCAAATAAATTTGCACAAGGGAATTTTCACTTAGCTTAGGGAATGGAGCTCTGCTGACTTCCATTATCCTATCATGTGCAAGCATAAATACTGGTTTTTTATTTTCCTTGCATGTGATTGGGTTTTCTTTGCAAAATTAATTTTCACCACATTCACTAAGAAAATTATCTTGCAAAGTGCAAATTCTTCCCTTGGAAACTGAACAGCCCATTTGCCTTTAGTAAATCAACCTAAGTGTGCACAACAAGCTTTTGCAAAGCATTGTAAAGCTTTCGAGAAGCTCTGGGCAGTTTTGTTTAGTTCTCCTAAGGGTAACGGGAGGACACAAACTAGCGTCCTCCCGTCACCCTAAGCTCAGCATACCGCGAGCTACAGCTTGCAGTATACTGAGACGCCGCAGCCGGAACGGATCCGACAATACTGTCTGGATCCACCCAGCTGCGTGAGTGACAGCTGGCTCTGCCTATCTAGAGGCAGAGCCAGCTGTACCCGCCCCCTCCCCCGTCCGTTCCGCCAGGAAGATCGGACAGGGGAGGGGGGGGAATCCCTGCAGGGAGCCGGGAGTTACAGTCACGGCTGTCTGTACGGATAGATCGAGAAGTGAGCGAGCGATGGTATGTGTTTGCTCACTTCCCGATCTATTGAGCCGACCTGTGACAGTTTCATTGCCACAGGTCGGCTCAGATTATGAGGCTGAGTGAAAATCACTCGCCTCATAATTCTCCTTTAAGGCTGAAGTGTAATGTTAGCATATAATAAATTCCTTTGTTCCCCTCGAACAACATGCAATTACATTTTTTCAATAAAAAGTTCCTGTTTGCAAAGTATACCTCATTGTACACCCAGTGACATCATCACTGGGTCTCTCTGTGGGTATTTGCTCAAGGTTGTGCTTGGTGGGAAGACTTTCTTCCAGTATATATCACAACACCATGCCTTGGATCTTCTTTCAAAAGGTCTTCCAAACAGTGGGATGGCTCTTTGGAGGTGTTCTGTAAATTTTCGTTTCAGACACGAGGAGTGGGCAATTCTGGACGGACTACATCCACTCAAGGAAAGGCCAACAAATAATTGTGAGCTAAAAATAATATGCCCACAAATCATGCTGAGCCCAAAGAATACACCCACTAATAATGCTGAGACAAAAAGGAATACGCCCACACATGACACATGGCAAAATAGATTGACAGCTAAGTAAACAAATAGCTGTAAGAGGCCAGCCAGGGACAGTTCAGATTGGGAAGAGAGGGCTTGATGATGCCTGAAGTCATCCAGGCTGGAAATGAGGTGGGCTAAAGATATTCATCTTCTAATGCTTGTGTTGTGGAGATGACAGTGTGCAGGGAAAGGATACTATCTGCTTTCAGCACCGGAGAAGAGAAGGGTCATTACGTCTATTAAAAAAAAAAGCTAAGGATGGAGTGCAGTTTTATTTCTAGTATGCAGATGTTAAATAGGAGTGCTAATAGTCACTTGAAATAAGCCTAACCCTACTGTAGCCCGTAGCAGCTCGTTTTAGTGACAGTCAGCACTTCCATAAAGATCTGTGTTTAACATTCCCATACCAGAGGTAAATTGTGCTTTACAGGCTTCTACAATCAAAGCTCGCTGTACACACTACTCTTATAAAAGCTAAAGCCTGTGTGAACAAGGCCTCAGTAAGTCTACAGTAAAACATATAATAAAATGTATAAAAAAATCTTTGCCAGTTTGCTCAAAATCCTGAGTTCACTCTTCAGCAAGTCCACATAATATTTGCCAACCAAGTGGGCCAGGCCTCCAACCTGACTGCAAATTCTCCATATTTAGGCTCACTGTAACGTTAGTCATGATATTCACCAGTGGATGTTTTCCAACCGTGATCCTCATTCTAGCAGTGAGGGGTGAAGGACCAATGCAGTAAGGTGCAAAGTCATATGGCTCTGGATATGAAACCACTTAAATTCTAGTTATATTGTTTGCTAGGTGACTGTCAGCTTCTTGGTATTTCGCACCTGTATAGAGAAAAGATAGGAGACACTTTATTGTCTGCAGTTATAATTAAACAGTGGTAGTGATATGATTTCTATAAATCAGGGTATGTGACCCTACTATATCCTGTCTTTGGCCCCACAGAGGAAATTATTATTTTCTTTCTGCTCCACGTGACACCTGTAACCTGGGCAGAAAGTGAGAGGAAATCACTGCATATGAACACAGACATATAAAAAATCTTCCAGGTTCCATTTGAAACTAAAAAAAAAAATCTTCCAGGTTCCAGTCCTTCCTCACTGAACTGGATCCTCCTTCACTTCCTGTTCTGACACCCATCAAGATTGGAAGTAGGGAGGATTCCCTTCAACTATTCTATCTGATACCCATCAAACTGGGGTAAAATCTCCCAAATGGACAATAAAGAGCAATAAAAAAGTTGACAGAGGTGCTAATGTTTTCCTACTAGGCCAATATTCGAAAAACCTTTTGGTTGGATTTAACTGCTATTACAAAATGCAGGCAGGAATCTAGCTAAGCTTATTTGAGTTCTTACATTAATTCTTAATTCTTCATTATAAGGTGAGCTTGAAGCTGCTTCCTAATTGCTTAACACCTAAAGATGATGCTTTGGCATAAGGAATTGGAAAGACACGTTTTAAATCTGGGTCAAAACCCTCAAGAGCCCCCTTGATATTAGCTGTTACTACTTTGCTATTGTGTTGCGGCACCACTGAATCCTGCATCTTTTGCTGGTTATCGTTTTCCATGAACCAATCTCCACACTTGTCAATAGAAGTATTTAATAACTGGTGTATTTTAGGAGTACTGGATCCCAAAGTGTTTTGGTCTTCTGTTGAGGGCTCTATTAGATGGTAGCAACTCTAGAGAGATGGCTCTCAGATCAAAAAGCCACTAGGTGGCGCTTCTGACAAATTCCTATTGTATAAAAGTCAGAGGGGGGAATTGATCAAAACTGGAGCAGAAGAATCTGGAGCAGTTGCCTATGACAACCAAACAGCTTCTTTCTTCAGTTTGTTCAGTTAAGGTTTGAAAATGAAAGGTGGATGCTGATTGGTTGCCATGTAGAGCTGCTCCAGATTTTGATCAATCCCCCTCATAGAGTGTCAAACTGATGGGTATATTTATTTGATCATAATGTCCAAAAGCAAGGCTATCACACCAGCTGCTGGAGCAATCATAGCACATTTAAACTTATTCTTCCATACTACACAGTTCAGGTATCTACCCTGTTTTCTGACAGGTTAATCCTCGATAAACCCTTGAAACACAGTGGCTTGATGTTGGATATTCTGCTCAATTAATACACTTGGACTATTACGATTGGTTTGACACTCTGAAGGGAATTTATTAAAACTGGAACAGACAATATCTGGAGCAGCTGTGCATGGTAAACAATCAGTTTCTCTTTTTCATTTTCAAATATTAAAGTGACATTAAACACTCAGATTTTTTAACATAAACCAATACTGTAATGTGTGCCTTACTGTAATCCATGGTTGTTTCCCTTATCTTTGCTGCTCTTCCTTTTAAATCCTCATGTCTTCTCATGCTTGGGGAGAACTTCCCTTTTCAGCTCTAAAAAATCTGAGGGTTTAATGTCACTTTAACTGAACAAACTGAAGAGAGAAGCTGATTGCCATGCACAGCTGCTCCAGATTTTGTCTTCTTCAGTTTTGATAAATTCCCCTCTCTGTGTTTTTCTTTACTATATTCAATAGTTTTTTTTATCTGTTGTCCATGGAAAATGCATTTTGAGGGCATTCCACAATGGAGTAAAGATAACTAACATGGTTTACAGTTTCTTGAATTTTCCTGCAATAGTCAGTATGTTACACATTGTTTTTTATTGTATTAACAGGATGTGGTTCATTCTTGTTCTAATATCACACCCATTCGTAAAAAAAACACAAACATTCTGAGCTGGTGGTTTCGTGGAACTAACACAATTAACCTATTATGTCTAGTGAATAAAATAGGGTACACTCTTCTAAAAATGGCCCATGAACATAGATCATTACAAATACTTGAGGAGTAGTCAAAACAGGCTTGGCACATTTTGAAGGACACTTAAGGAACCTTATTTCTTTTTGGTGCCAGTTTTGCCAAGGAATAACACTCTGGTATGTGTCCGTCATAAGATGCTTTAAAGCAGTGGTTCTCAACCTTTCTAGGGCTGGGACCCCTTGGAACATTTACCAAGTTGTGGTGACCCCCAGCGGTAAAATTTAGAGATGACACGGCCGCTGCATGTTGAAGAGCAGGTTACAAGTCAGTCCTAATTAACCGTTTTAAGGTCCCCAGAATTAGCATTAAAATTAAGCTTAACACTGAGCGGCAGTCAGTAATATCTCTGAAGTGGTCAGTGTGCAGCGACATCAGGCGGCTGGGGAGTGACCAACACTGCGGCGACCCACTCAAGAGGGGGCGGCGACCCACTTTTGGGTCGCGACCCACAGGTTGAGAACCGCTGCTTTAAAGGACATTCCTGTCATAGTTTCCCTATCGACCTGCACAGGGAGGGGTAGACTTTGAGATCAGATTGAGTGTGGCACCTGCATTGATGTTGATTGAATATCAGTCCCCGCTGGTTGCACTGTTCCTCAGTTTTCTGACACACACATTGGCAGTTTTCAGGGTTTAATGTCCACCTATGGTCACAAGGTGAACAGACAGACCTAGGATGAAGAAGACAAAGTATGAGAAAAACAACATCAATTGACTACTGCTACTAGATATTCCTTAGTTAATGCAAAGACTTAAACCCAAATCAAAGCTGTAATGTGTACGTTTTAGTTAAACTGCAACTGCCTTTTTCCCAGAACTTTCACTTTCATTCGTAATATTTACCATCTCCGCATGGCTTTTATAATGCTACTGTCCTACAAATGTCACTCAATCTCATTCAGCTACAAACCTTGGGTTCTTAGTGGAGCGAATGCCTTTTTTCCCTTTTCGCCTTCGTTTCTTTCCTCTCTTTAAAACTGAGGTTGTAAAGAGTCTGTGAGAAGCAAAAACAACATCTATGAGACATAACACAAAAAATCCTTAGCAAGAAAATGCATTTAGAAGTCAAGAACTATACATACAAGTACAATTGTTTTACTGAACTTTTATGGTTTACACTGAGTTAAACACGTGTATAAAATGAAATTGCATTTATAATATTACATGCATGCTTGTGGCGCATTGATCTGTTGTTTAGCAGTTGCTGGTAGACATGTGCACCGGCAAAAAATGTGTTTAGTTTCAATTTGATTCGGATTTTGCGTTATTTTGTTTTTTGGATTCTGGTCCAAAATTGAATTCGTTTCGGGATTCGGAAAAATTAGTTAGCGGTAGTCCGTTCGAAATTTTGTTTCATTTTCGTTCGTTGCAGCAAAATGACATTGGAGAAAAAAAACTTTTTTTTTTTTTACAAGAGAGAAAAGAGGAAAAAAAAAAAAATGGGGGGGTTCCCCCCCCCCCCCCCTTTTTTTGGGGGGGGGGGTCCCCAGCAAAATCCATACCAGGCCCTTTAGGTCTGGTAGGAATGTTAAGGGGGACCCCCCCCCCCAAAAAAAGGGGGGGGGGGTCCCCAGCAAAATCCATACCAGGCCCTTTAGGTCTGGTAGGAATGTTAAGGGGGACCCCCCCCCCCAAAAAAAGGGGGGGGGGGTCCCCCTTAACCTTCCTACCAGACCTTTGATCCGAGCACTGGCCCGGCAGGGCAGGAAAGAGGGGGGACGATTGAGCGCCCCTCCAACTGCCTGCGCCTTACCAGGCCACGTGCCCTCGGTATTGGGAGGGTGTCCCCAATGCACCCAATGCCGATGGGGACAAGGGCCTCTTCCCCACAACCGTGACGTGGGCAACGGGGCTTATTTGCATTGGGGTACCCCTTTAATTAAGGGGGCACCCAGATGCCCCCCCCCCCCTTGTGAATGAGTAAGGGGTACTTTTACCCCTACCCATTCACTACAGGGTTAAATCAAATAGTTATTAAAAAGTTCAGACTTTCGGAATCGGAAATTCGGATTTGTTTGGATTCGTTATATCTGTAATTCGGATACATCCGAATGTCCAAATTTCCCAAATTTCGTCCGAATTTCGATTCGGAACAAAACGAATCACACATGTCTAGTTGCTGGTATGTGTCGTAACAATCTCACATTTAGTTTACTAATTTGTATTGAGATTGTAGTCCATCACGGGAGCGAGCTTGAAGCGGTGGCTACTTTACAACACACACAGGGACCAAGAGGGGCAACAGTAGCCCCCCTCCAGAAGGAAGGACAGTGTCGGCACCAATTCAGAGATGGTTTGAGGATCTACAGCCAAGTGCTACACAAATAAGATACATTTTTGTTATTAGCTAAGGTACTTGAATGCATTTTCAAGATTTAACTCCTGAGTTTAGTGTCACTTTAAAGTGACTGTAGCCGTTTCAATGCACTTGCAATAAAACAATTACTGTGTGTGATACTTTTTTATTTCACTAACAGTTACATTTTCACGACAAGCTTTCAGGCAGTTCCCTTCTTCTCAATCCAAGCAATACTGGTACAGTTATCAACTTTTGTCAAGCCAGCAGGGCCACCCATGGTAAGAATTCCAGCCACTTTCTGGTAAATTGGCCAAGTTTTGAGCAGTATTTGGTTAGCCTTAAGGTGCCCATACACCTTACGAATATCGGCCGATTTTTCGCATCCGATCGCGTTTGCGTCCGATATTTGTAAGGGTGATGGGCAGTGTACAACTGCAAATACTGTACAATCGATCGACTTTTGACTAACCAGCAGGTTAGAAAACTTGTGATTTTCGCAGGGTTGGTGGCGTTTCCATACGTCACAATTCGTACGATCTACACATGCGCAGATGAAAATACGTGCGGTCGATTACCGCAATTCATCCAGGTGCTTTCTTCCAATTACCGCTGATCCAACCTTGCGATAATCGGGGCAGGATATGGCCGCAGTCCGAAAATCGTACGACGGTTCGATCAGCAGACGTTAAGTGTAGTCCGATGATCGCAAGATGTATGGGCAGCCTTACAATCATCACAAGACTTTCGTTGTGCGATGGTTGTAAGGCGATTAAAATTTCGTACGACCTGCCCATCATGGACAGGCAGATCATACTTGTGATCATCACAGGTCCTCCCCGCTGAGGGGAGGGCTTGCAGATGATTGCAATGGTGAGCGGGCAGTGTGCGCTTCCGCACCTCGGGTGGTACGGCTTTCCTCTTGCGATCGCGCTACCAACCCGCCGAAAATCGTATGATTTTTGCCAGGTTTTCTAGCGTGCTCGTTATACGAAAATCGTACGACCGTGCAGTAAATGCATTCGCACGCTGCCCATAAACCTTACGATTTTGTTACGATCGCGGGATCACTCGCGATTATCGCACAATAATCGCCAGGTGTATGGGCAGCTATAGTCAAAAAAGAAAAAGAGTGGGCTATGGGGGGACTAAGAGAAACAAGTGAGAATTGTCATAAAACTGTGTGATATTGGTTTAAGAAAACTGAGGTCCACATTCAGTCTGTTATTTCAGTGCATCCCAGCTTCTCTCCTCCATGCTGGAGCCAGTCTGTGTGCCTGCCGATGCACTGGCCGGCACCCAGTGGAGAGGAGAAGGGTTCAGCATGCTGAGCAGTGGGGGAGGAAAGCGCTGCTAGCATTGCAAGAAGCCAAGCTCACCTCCCAGCTTGGCCTCCTGTATCAGGATGGAGAGCGGTGCGATCATTACAGGAGGCCAAGCTCTCCTCCCACACCTCCCGACTCAGCCCCCGTATCAGGATGGAGAGCGGTGATTGGAGGAGAGCTCTGCAATGTCATAGGAGGCGGAGCTCTCCTCTCGCACTGCCCTCCTATACCTCCTGTGACAGCCGATCCTGGATGGAGAGCGGAGTACAAACATTCAGCGATCAGATGATTGCTGAATGTTTGTAAATAAGTGGAAACAGTATGAGTTGCTATGTACCAATTATGAATGAATGGGAAGTGATCTACATCACGTCCTAGTCATTCATGATTGTGTACATAGTAACTCATGATATATCTACAAGTTGTGAATGAACAGGAACACTGACAGGGCTATTCACAAAAAGGTGAAGAGTTTGGAGAAGGCAGGAGAAGTGAACAAGCTAGGCCAAAATAGCTGATTTGCAAAAATTATCCAATTCAGCTCACTTTCCAGTTCCGGTATGTTGTCCTAGATTGTTCACTTCTTCTGCCTTCTCCAAACTCTTCACCGTTTTGTGAATAACCCTGTCAGTATAGAGGCTTCCTGTTCACTTATAACTGGGGAAGCAGAAAAAGAGATTGAGGACTCTATGTCCTCAATCTCTTTTTCTATTTTAAAAGGGAAATATCAGGGATCTGTTTAGACTCCCTTATATTTCCATAGAGCCCCCAGCAGTAAAGCAAAAAAAAAAATTTTAATTTTTCAGTTTTGCCCTGAAATGTTTTTTTTTTTCTGTTTCGGTCTCAGAATTCCATTTTGGTGCATCTCCAGCCATAACTTTATGACTAATATTGACTAGGTTCCCTTTTGCCACCAAAACAGCCCTGACCCGTCGAGGAATGGACTCCACTAGATCTCTGAAGGTATGCTGTGGTATCTGGCACCAAGCCATCAGTAGCAGATCTTTTAAGTCCTGTAAGTTGCAAGGTCGGGCCTCCATGGATCCAACTTGTTTTTCCAGCACATCCCACAGATGCTCAATTGGATTAAGACCTGGGAATTTGGAGGCTAGGTGAAAAGCTGGAACTCGTTGTTGTGTTCATCAAACCATTCTTCATCCATTTTACAGTATGGTGAGGTGCATTATCCTGCTGAAAGAGGCCACTGCCATCAAGGAATGCTGTTTCCATGAAGTGGTGTACTTGGTCAGCAACAATGTTTAGGTAGGTGGTACATGTCAAAGTACCGTCCACATCAATGCAGGAAACAAGGTTTCCCAAAGCAACACACTGCCTCCACTGGCTTGCCTACCTCATATTGTTCATAATGCTATGGCTGATCGCTATTATTTGTTGAAAAGTGAAATAACTCTACATTAGAATGAATTCAGTGAGTCATGTAACATCCTCAGCACTGTATTTGTGTTTTGGTGAGGATGATAAGAATAAATACTCCATACAAAACCAGTATTAATGTGTTCTAGCCTCACTGACGTAAATCCATCTCTAACAACAACAACAGTGCTGCAGGTCTTAAACACTGTCTGAATCTGTTACAAAAGAGCTGACAAAGTGTAGCACAGTATAGCATGCTTATGTTACAATTGTAAAATAAAAGCAGTAAATGATAAATGATTCAAGAGATACAACGAAAAACTGTACCTGCCAGGCCTCAGTATACTGCTGTCACGGGGCCTGGAAAGTATTAAAACAACAAAGTGTGAAACTGATAATCATAGTATAGCCACACTGTAATATATGCAGAACATTCAGTCTCCACGTCTTAATACAATGCGGTTCTTATTGCAATTTATAGTCCTAAATTACTGATTTTCATGGTTAATATGGTTAATATGCTCAGGGGGAGGGTCACCATCAGGGGGGGGGAGGGTCACCATCAGGGGGGGTACAGCCAATTCTTATGTAAGTGGTCCGGAGAGGAGGCCATGGCCCAGCAGTGCAGGTCCGGGTCTATGGTGGGCCCTGCAGGGTCTCATGTGGGTTCTGAGTCCAGTGCGTTTCTAAGCCCTGAGTCCAGTGAGTTACTAAGTCCAGAGTCCAGTGTGTTACTAAGTCCAGAGTCCAGAGCATTACTAAGACCAGAGTCCAATGCGTTGCACAGTCCTGAGCCCGATTCATATACTGTTCTGCATTGCTGTATAATGTATTGCTGGGATTTGTAGTCCCCCTAAAACTGGTGCCATTCTGGATTAGCGTGTAAGCTCCTCTGTACAGAAACTAATGTGAGTGGCTCAGTGTTCTCTGTACAGCACTACAGTATATCTTAGAGCTACATAAATGTATAATAATAGTGTGTGACTGTGGGTGGACATTAGAGTGTACAGAGACTGATGTGACTGGATCAGTTTTCTCTGTACAGCACTGTGGTATATGTCTGAGCTATATAAATGTATAATAATAATTGTGTGAGACTGTGGGGGTACATTAGAGTGTAAGCTCCTCTGGTGCAGAGACCGCCGGGGGTTGGGGGGCCAATAAGATCCCCTCCCGCCCCCACCCCCCTCTTGGGGGACCCCAACATAAAATCTTGCACCAGGGCCCTTTGTTCCTTTGTCCACCTGAGAGCCTGCACAGCCGACCTAGCCCACCTGTGAGCCTGCAAAGCCCCCCCCGAGAGCCTGTACAGCCCAGTTTTCTTTTCTTAGATATGCTAGGGGATAGACGAGGGGCAGTTAGTGTTAATAAGTAGGTAGTGCAGTTTGTAATATCATCAATCATGACCCCGGTGGAATGTGGGACCGATGACTTAGTCCCACATTTCAACTTGGCCTGCCATAACCCCCCCCACTTTCACATATATATATATATAATCATTCACTTTTCCATAAAATTAATACATTTTCCATAAAATTAATACATTTAAAATGTATATATATAATAAATCAATCTCTTTTTAAATAAATTAATAAA